AGGAGCACAGCATGACAGGCAGATGCAGCCTGACATGGCAGGAAGTCTAAGGACTGTCTTCTTTTCCCCAATTCTAGAGCTTCCGTTGATGGTCGCCCAGAGGGTCAAATGCTTTCTAGGGGAATGCAGAAGTAGTGGGGGTAGAAGCTTGGATTCTGGGATGAGGAATGGTGGCTTATATCCTGTGTGAGCTGTGGCCAGGATCTGACATGACAATGCACATCTCAACAATGTAGACATGCTAGATAATATCACCTGATTATGAGACACACAAATAATTTTGGCACTAAATAATTTCTTTGTGATCAAACCTCAGGGCAAGGACTTCCTGAGCATTCTGAGATTATCCAGAATTACTTACTGGGACACAGATTCAAAAGAGAAGCTAAACTCAGCAGTAAGAAAAACAAAACCCAAACCTACCTCACACTTGTAAAGTAACCTGAAATGTTTAACATTTTATTTATATCTAGTGCATCAGCACCTTTCATTAACATTAGGCACTTAAAAAATATCACACACAATTCCTGAGACTGCACACCTTACAACCCCTCAAAGGGATGGGTCTGGTGCTGTGGCATAGCAGGTTAAAGCCGCCATCTGCAGTGCCGGCATCCCACATGTGCACTGGTTCAAGACCTGGCTGCTCACTTCCGATCCAAGCTCTCTGCTATGGCCTGGGAAAACAGTAAAAGATGCCCCAAGTCTTTGGGTCCCTGCACCCAAGTGGAGACCCCAGAAGAAGCTCCTGCCGATAGGCACAGCTCCGGCTGTTAAGGCCAACTGAGGAGCAAACTAGCAGATGGAAGGCCACTCTCTTGCTGACACTCCTCCTCCTTTCTCTGTATAACTTTGACTTTCAAATAAATAAATCTTTAAAAAAAAAAATGGGAGGGCTGGCGCCATGGCTCACTTGGCTAATCCTCCGCCTGCGGCGCCGGAATCCCATATGGGCCCCGGGTTCTAGTCCCGGTTGCTCCTCTTCCAGTCTAGCTCTCTGCTATGGCCCAGGAGGGCAGTGGAGGAAGGCCCAAGTGCTTGGGCACCTGCACCCGCATGGGAGACCAGGAAGAGGCACCTGGCTCCTGGCTTTGGATCGGCTAGCTCCAGCTATAGTGGCTATTTGGGGGGTGAAACCAGCGGAAGGAAGACCTTTCTCTCTGTCTCTCCCTCTCACTGTCTGTAACTCTGTCAAATAAATACAGTTTTTAAAAAAATTATAAAAAGAAAGGGAACCCCTCTCTCTGAAATCAACTAGGATTAGGGAAGGAGTAGGTGAGGGAGGCAGGGAATACTCCGGCAGAGCTCCATTCTCAGTGGACTTAGGAAATAGAATTTAAAGTTGAGGGGATAAGAAACGCATAAGGTATGTGTTACAGTGGATGGGATTCTTTAGGTTGTGTGGAAAATGACTGAGTGTTTTATGGGGAAAAATGATTAAACAAGAACAGCATTCCTACCAGCAGAAGAAATGGATTACTGTCTGTGGATCAAACAATGATAACTTTAAAAAATCTTTAATGATTGTTACATACAAGAGATTAAAGCATAGGCTAAGATGCTTATTTTGAGGATTTTGACATTAATAGTTTACTGAAAGACGCTGCTGCTCTGTTCTGCTTTCTTTATTAATGGCACCCCACTGTGTCTGGTCCCTGTGACCTCTCTCCACCTACCTAGCCCACTGTCTCTGCTCCTGACCACCGATCTCAATACTTTCAGCAGTTTTCCATATCTGGGTCTGCCCCGGATGACAAACTCAGAAACCACAGGCACCACACCTGTGCTATGTGCTCAACCACCCTTATCAGATCCTGGCCATGTCCTCATGGGGCCACGTTTGGCAAGGACAGACTGTACTGAACCCATATCACCAATGCAATACATTTAAAAGCGAGACCTTTGAGATGCGAATGAGCCTCCAAGGCTAGGCCCTTATAAATGGGATTAATGGCCTCATAAAATAAATTGTGGATCCCATGTGAACTGTTCAGGCCTGTGAGGACAGATCAAAGGCATCGTCCATGCAGCAGAGCAGCCTTTGGCAGATGCTGAATCTCCTGGAGACTTGATCTCGGACTTCCCTGACCCACGATATGAGCAGTAAATTTCTTTTGTTTGTTAGTTATCCAGTGTGAAGTTTCTCATGGCAGCAGTCCAAATATTCTAAGACAGCTGGAATTATAGAAAGTCAAGTCTCACATATTCAGGGCTTGCTGTGACTCTGGTGATAAACCTCTCACTGATTCTCATAGCCTCTGTCTTAAACAGGGGCAGTAAGCAAAGCCCCCAGGGTGTAGGTTAAATTCCACTGGCTGCTTAGCCTCCCTTCAGGTCATTTTTTGCTTCTCCACTTCTTACACTTTGCATTCATCCTTCCTGATTATCCAGCAAAGCAGTGAAATGCTCTCACTTTCACATTCCCAGAAATGTCATGACTTCCTGCAGATGCAGTTCTCCTTGCCATCTTAACCAACAGACCACTGAGGAGTCACTGAGATTCTGCTACCCTTAAAAGAGCCCCCACTTTTCCTCCAAGGACTTCAGTGGAAGTTCTGGCAACTTCACTTCCAATCTAGCTCCCTGCTAATGGCCTGGGAAAGCAGCAGAGGATGGCCCAGAGCGCTTGTGCCGCTGCACCCATGTGAGAGACCCAGAAGAAGCCCCTGGATTTTGCCTTCAGATCTGCCCAGCTCCAGCAGTTGCAGCCATTTGGGGACTGAATTAATGAATGGAAGATCTCTCAGTCTGTCTCTGTCTCTCTCTCTCTCTCTTTCTCTTCTCTCTCCTCTCTCTCTCTCTCTGCTTTTAGAATAAAATAAATAAATCAAAGGAGGAAGAGGAGGAGGTGGGGAAGGAGGAGGGGAGGGGAGGGGAGGAGGAGAAAGAAACTACCCAAAAGACTTCCCTGAAATGAGCTTCTATGTCCCAAAGAAAATTAGAGCCACTACAAGTATTGGTCTTTGTATTAGGAGATCTCTCCATCTTATGACCCTGTCTTGCTCAGTATTTTGCCCAGTAGAGCATCCTTAGGAAGGACTTAGGATCATGGAAGCTCTGTTATTAGTGATTTTTATTCTGATAGGTTTTCAAGGTGAGTGAAATTATAGGAGTGAGGACTTTATTTCCCTTTGGATCTCCATCCCTGAAGAGTTGTATAACAAAGGAGTCTTCAATAAGCTATGCACTGACAAAAACAAATTCAACAGGTGGTGTGAAAAGTCTTCATCTCCTTTCCATATGATTTTGGGCAACTGACTTAGTTGTGAGACTGTCTCTGTGATGTTGACGCAAACGTGGATGAGCCCCAGCGCCTCCTGAAGTTTCAGAAAGCACAGGTGACAGCACAGGTGTGCATGTTCCTGAGAGCTATGGGTTCATGAATACAAGCCCCCTGTGCTTTCCTGCTATCTTCTCAACACAATGCTCATCCCACACTTTCACACTCATTTGTCCAAAATGATAGCAACAAGATCTGTGGTGACTCAATCTATAGTTGTCAGGAAACAGGGTCACAGTCGCAGAGATTGCAGGTATGGAGTGTCTGAAGTGACACTGCAGTTAGTACTTGCCCAGGAAACCAGCATTTCTGTTGCGTGACCTTGGTTCAGATTGCATTTGTAGAGTCAGGGATCAGGAGAGAACTCTGAAACACAGCTGCTTCTCTTGTCCACTCCTCTCTTATCAAGCCATAGGTTTCAGGAAGTTTATTTGTTATCTCAAGATAGTTTAATATTCTTTTCTCAAAACTAAGTTTCTGGAAAGGGGCACAGATACTAGTTAAGTTTCACTTTTCTGTTCTTGGAAGTACAGTGGATTCTGGAATGGGACTAGCTCCACAGTCGTCTGTGATTGGTTACTATCACTGGGAAGTAGGGAGGGATTTGAGTTAGGTGTAAGTTCAGTCCTGCCCAGCAGCCTTATATTTGCTGCTTTATATCATTCAGCCTTATATTTAAGGTCAGGGCGGATTTTGGGTGAAGAGATTGGACCACAGCAGACGTCAATTTCCATACATCAAACAATGATCAACTCATCGAGCAGACACAAAGCTTTTGACAATTGAACAACATCATTCAGAGGTATTTCTGATCCAAGGATTTCTTTTCTCTAACAAGCTAATGGGTACTAAAAATCTGGGATCATGGGCTGGGAGGTTGGGGTGCTCAGGTGGGAAGCCTGGGAGCTGATGGCAGAGAGGCAGGATTGGTTCATCCTTCATTCATCCCTCAAGGTAAGGTAGTTCTACAGCAAGAGCTTTGGATATTATTGATAAAATGATTACCTTTCCTCTAGTGCATCCCGTTATAACAGCTACAGGTATGTGTGTCAGACTGTGTGTTGTAGACTTCATTACAGAATACACTGGGTTTGTTGTATCTCAATCTTATGCTACTTCCAAGTCTTGAAAGATAATCAGCCTGTAAAGAACCTGTGAAAAAGAATCCTACAAGGAGAATATAGCCAGCTTAGACAGAATTAAGTCCTGACAGTATGTATAGCATGTAATGCAACAGAACGTAATTGCAATAAAGAAGCCCCACTCTTATCTGTGGTAGAATGTACTAACTTCCACTGACATTTGACTGGGTAAGAAAAATTTGCCCCAGGGGCTGATGCTATGGCGCAGTAGGTTAAGCCTCTGCCTGTGGTGCTGGCATCCCATAGGAGCACTGGTTTGAGTCCCAGATGCTACATTTATGATCCAGCTCTCTGGTAATGTGCCTGGGAAAGGATGGCCCAAGTTTTGGGCCTCTGTGCCCATGTAGGAGAACTGGAAGAAGCTCCTGGATCCTGGCTTTGGATCTGTCCAGTTCCAGCCACTGGGGCCATTTGGGGAGTGAATCAGTATATGGAAGATCCTTCTCTGTCTCTCCCTCTTTTTCTGTGTAACTCTGCCTTTCAAATAAATAAATAAATCTTAAAAAAAAAAGCAAAGTACAAGAAGTTCCTCACACACAGTAATCCTGGTCAGCTTTCCTCTCACTTCTTTCTTGTAGGTCTTTTATTTGCTCTCAGTCATGGGTACAGTTTTCTCAATTATACCTTCCATAGAACAACACCAAGATTTGCCCTCCAGCTTTCAAGTGTATCTTAAAAACTTCAAGACAGAAAGCAAAATCCTCTCTCAGGAAACCATCCTTTCAGTTGAGTCACGCCTGACCAGAGGAGACATTCAAGGCGCACACTCCGTAATGAAAGAGGCATTAAAAAATATTGACGGTATCCCACTTAACATCGCTGTGACAGGGCAGTTGGGTTCAGGGAAGTCAAGTTTGGTGAATTCCCTGAGAGGCGTGGGACATGAAGGCAGAGATGCAGCTCCAGTTGGGGAGAGGAGACAACCATGCAGAGAACACCATACAAACACCCAAATTTTCCTAACGTGACAATATGGGACTTGCCTGGCATTGGAATCTCTGATTTCCAGTCAAATGCTTACTTGGAGGAAGTCAAGTTTGGTGAGTACGACTTCTTCATTATTGTTTCTGCAACACGCTTCAAGAGAAATGACCTAGACCTGGCCAAAGTTATAAAATCTATGAAGAAGAACTTCTACTTTGTGAGAACCAAGGTGGACCTGGATTTACAAAATGAACAGGAACTTAGACCAGCTATATTTGAAAGAAAACAAGTCTTGGAAGAGATTCGAAACAAATCTCTGAAGCAATTTCAGAAGAATAATATTAAAACACAAATCTTCTTAATTTCTAACAGAGATTTGTCTGAGTTTGATTTCCCAATCCTGATGGACACTCTACTAAAGGATCTCCCTGCTCAGAAGCGCCACACGTTCATGCTTTCCCTGCCCAACATTACTGAGGCAGCCATTGATAGAAAGAGGGACTCTCTAAAGCAAACTATCTGGCTAGAAGCCTTCAAGGCTGGATTTTTGCAACCTTTCCTATGGTGGGCATCATAAAGGACAATGATGTGGAGAAGCTGAAGGCCACCCTACATCAATATCAGGTCCACTTTGGAGTGGATGATGCATCCCTGCAGAGTCTGGCTGAGGATTTACAAGTGCCTGTGGAAGAACTCAAAGCCGTCATTAAGTCTCCCTATTTGTTTGACACTGAAAAGGACCAAAACAATAGGGGGAAAGCTTTTGAAATATTTGGAGATTTTAAGTTCAGCTGCTTTAACTCCTCTTGCTGCAAGTCTTTACTTCAGGAAAGTTTTCTGCCTGCAATTTCACTTCCTTGACATAGTGACCAATGATGCTAAAGTTCTGATAAAAGAGGCATATTCCAGAAAGTCTGACTTTCCAATAGTCTAAAATCTTCTGGATGTTGAAATCCAAATTTATGGAGAAACAAAGCACACTGGATGTTGCTAACTGATATGCTGAGTTTCTTTGAGGGCATCTAGCCTTCAATTCAGACTTACCGACTGCATATCCCAATAGCTGGACCAAGGACATGGGATATCTTTGAATACAGGCAGAGCTAAATACCATGCATCCACTTCCAATAAACCATCACATCAGATGATTTACCTTTGTCATACATTTAATGTAGTTGTCACCCTGACAACTATTTTTATGCATCACATAAGCTCTTTGGAACCCTTTTATACCTCATCCTCTTCAACCCTGTATGGTTGTTTGTGATACAGCCCGACTTTCCTGCATCTTACAGATCCAAACCGACACACTAACAGCTAATGACCATGATAAGACCACTGACCAACGGCAGAATCATGTCAGTGAGTTTCTACTGTTTTCCTAAAGTAGCCTATTTCCAATCCCCATGTGAAAAACTGAGTGACTTTGTCCTTTACAAAGGCCTGGCCCTATAGGTCCACTGTCTTAGAGACAACCCATTTTGGTTTATGGCTACTGGCAACAGAGACCCTAACAGCAAAATAGCAAGAAATCATATCACCGCAGGAATCACAACTGTGATAGTCATAAGAATCCTATTTAGTCATAATCCTTCTTGATAAAGTAACTAAATAAAGTAACTAAATAACATCTATAATCCTATACTGATAGAAGTGGGTAACTCTTGGAAATGTTTCTGATTCTAGACAATTCCTGGCTTTTTGATTGTCATGATGGTGAGAAATTCCTTTAAATTTTGTGTGATACCGAAAGGCACTTAATAAATAAAAAGGTGTTTACTGGTAATGTTGTTCATTGTTGTGTTACCTTCTTTAATGATAATCTTCTTGTCCATGTCCCAGCCTACCAATTTACCTTCCTCAAAATGAAATATAATAAACATTACTTTGGGTAGAAAAGACCGAAAGAGACTCACAGATGAAGGGAGAAATGATTGACTGGTGAAGAGCAGTTTCTCAGTCAGTTTGAGCTGTTGTAATATGGCAGACTGTGAGTATTAAACAATATACATTTATTCCTTACATTTCTGGATACTGGAAGTCCGAGACCCAGGTGCCAGTTTGGTTGGGTCCTTGAGGAGGGCATGATTCCTAGTTGTGTACTCACATGGCCTTTTTTTGGTACATGGGTTTAGAGAGATTCTCTTTTCTCCTTTATAAGGGCCACAATGGAGGGTTGAAGGTGGCAGTATAGCAGTAGGATGCTTTGAGTCGCACAGGGAAAAAAAAAATGGCGAATCGATTAGCATAGGGGATACTAACAGGTGGCAGAATCACGAAAAGATAACAGCAGAGTGGCTCAGAAGTTCACAGAGATTGCCTGGGCCCACACCAGGGAAAATCTAATGTTCGCAAAGGGAAAAGCATGGAGACCCAGCTAGGAGACAGCTGCACCCACAGAGAACCAGGTGAGCGGTTGCAAACCCATAGAGATGCAGACATGGATGAATGGGGGAAATTTAGTGAACAGCGCTCGGTGCTCTACGTGGGAAGAAGGAGAAATTCTGGGGATAGGCAGAGAGGTTGAATATGCCAGGATCCCTCGGTGTCTTCCTCCTCCCCACCCAACCAGAGCTGCAGCCAGTGAGGAGACGCCATATTGTTTGTTTACATCCCCAAGCGAGGGAAAATGGCTGCTGCTTGTGCCTCCCACACTCAAACCCAGCAACTACAGGGGCAACCTCACAAAGCTCCAGGAGGTGGAGCTGCGTAATTGCACTTGCTATGGGCTCAGACAAATAGTAGCTCATAGCAGAGGAAAATCAATTTAAAATCAAACCAATCAGAAAAAAAAAATCAAACCAATCAGAAACCAAACAGAAATGCCAAAGAACAAAGGGAAAATTCTGAATAAAAATAAGGAAGAATCTATGAATTCTCCAATGGAGCAATCTAAATCTTCAATAATGGAGGCTGAAGAAGAAGAAAATGAATCATGCCAGAAGAAGAATTCAGAAAATTAATAATCAGATTACTTAGAAGCAATCAGAAACAGATTAAAGATCTAAATGAAAAGCACACCCCAGAAATTGGGATTCTAAAAAGAGCCAAAATGAAATATTGGAAATTAGGGGCCAGCACTGAGACCTGGCTGCTCCACTTCCCCTCCAGCTCTCTGCTATGGCCTGGAAAAGCAGTAGAAGATGGCCCAAGTCCTTGGGCCCCTGCAACTGTGTGAGAGACCTGGAGGAAGCTCCTGGCTCCTGGCTTTGGATGGGTGCAGCTCCAGCAGTTGTGGCCAACTGGGGAGTTAACCATCAGATGGAAGACCCCTCTGTGTGTGTGTGTGTGTGTGTGTGTGTGTGTGTAACTCTGACTTTCAAATGAATAAATAAATCTTAAAAAAGAAATACTGGAAATGAAAAATTCAATTGACCAAATAAAAAATGCCATGGAATCTCTCAGAAATCGAACAGATGAAACAGAAGAGTGAATATCAACCTGGAAGACAAATTTCTGGATATAATACAGTCAGATCAAACACAAGAAGAAGAAATTAGAAAATTAAAAATCATGTTTGGAGATTTACAAGATTCTATCAAGCAATGCAATGTACAGATCACAGGAGTCCTGAAGGTGTGGAAAGAGAGAATGAATTAGAAGTCCTTCTTAATGAAATAATATCAGAAAACTTCCACAATAGGCAGATTGAAAAAGACATCCAAATACAAGAAATACACAGAAATCCCAACAGACATGACCAGAAAAGGAATTCACCATGACACATTGTGGCAACACTCAGCTCAGTGAAACACAAAGAACAGATCTAAAATGTGCCAGAGACAAACAACAGATCACATTCAGAGGTAATCCAAATTAGACTCACCCTGGACTTCTCACCACAAACCCTACAGGCAAGGAGACAATGATGAGATATATTCTAAGTCCTAAGAGAAAACAACTGTCAACCCAGAATACTCTACCCTGCAAAAACTGTAATTTATGAATGAAGGAGAAATAAGGATCTTCCACGACAAACAGTAATTGAAAGAATTTATATATTCATGCCCAGCCCTACAACACTGGCTCAATGATGTGCTGCACACAGAAACACAGAAACAGGAATTTCACTACAAAAGAAGACAAATGGAGAAAATGACCCAGCAAAAGTACAAACAAAATCCAAAATGCATAAACAGCTGTATTTAAGGAAACATGACAGGGAAAAGACAGTATTTAACAATAGTCAGAATCAATCAATCTACCTATCAGCGGAGCCAAGATGGCGGAATAGTGAGGGCGCGCACCGATAGTCCGGGAAAATTTAGTTTAATAAAAGGGGAGTTACGGTAGCCGCAGAAAAAAGAACCAGGAAAAAATTGCACGGGAATCGTGAATCGGAGGACCTACTGGGAGAACAAGGTCGCCCACCGCGCGGAAGCCAAGTCGCGGGACCCAGCCGCAGAAGCCCCAGTGCTCCAAGGGGAGTGCATGCCACACAGACAACAGCGGGGAGACTTGGGACGCTCAGGGCTCCGAGTCCACACATCGGCGCTGGAAGGGGAGGTGAGCTCAATAACCCGAGACATTGGTGGGGAAACGGGGGTCAGAATCTAGAGGGGGGCCGGAAAGTGCAGCAAACTCACTACCGGAAAGAAGGAAAAAAAAAGCTTCGGGGTTTCTCTTCCCCCTAACCTTGCAAAGGTTACAAGGCTGCAAGGCTAGAAGAATTCCCAAGAGACAAAGAGCAGGCCTCCTCTCTGGATTTACATATCAATGGGTGAGAGCTAAGGAACTGAGTCACTACAATTCAGTAGCCTAGGCAACCCAGTAGGAGTCCAGAGGAGCCAAAGACTGGAAGCTAAATACCATCAATTCTGCACAGCCGTGCCCTGCGGTGTTACTTACCCCCTGAATAAATAAAATAAATAAATAAATAAAAAGAGAGAGATTTACCACGCATAACCTGAGGGTGTCACCTTTGCACACCCTTAACCTGGAAGAACCAGGCAGAGCTCTCAGGCCGCACCCATCTCAAGCCTCCAAGGCTCCTCCAACAGCAGGCAGTCCACTTAACACGGACACAGTATAAAAAAAAAAAGAAAAGAAAAAAAAAAACGCACAGTGACGCAAGAAGAATTAACTATGCCGAGTAACAAACACAGAAATAGAGGGAGCAAGATCAACGATGACACTATGATGCCTCCAAATAAGCAAAACACCCCAAGCCAAGAGTATGAAGATGATGAGATAGAAGAAATGCAAGATACGGATTTCAAAAAATTTATGATAAGAACATTTAGAAGTTTTCAAAAGCAAATCCTTGAACTACAGAAATCCTTAATGGACAAGATTGAAAATCTCTCTCGTGAAAATGAAATTTTAAGGAAGAGTCAAAATGAAACTCAGAAACTAGTAGAACAGGAAAGTGTTATAGTGAAGAGAAATCAAAATGAAATGAAGAGCTCAATAGATCAAATGACAAACACATTAGAAAGCCTTAAAAACAGAATGGGTGAAGCAGAAGAGAGAATATCGGACTTAGAAGATAGAGCACAGGAAAACATACAGTCAAACCAAAGAAAAGAAGAGGAAATTAGAAACCTAAAAAATATTGTTGGGAATCTACAGGATACTATTAAAAAAACCAACATTCGAGTTCTAGGAGTTCCTGAAGGCATGGAGAGAGAGAAAGGATTGGAAGGCCTTTTTAGTGAGATACTAGCAGAGAACTTTCCAGGTTTGGAGAAGGACAGAGATATCCTAGTACAGGAAGCTCATAGAACCCCCAATAAACATGACCAAAAGAGATCCTCACCACGACACGTGGTAATTAAACTTACCACAGTGAAACATAAAGAAAAGATCCTAAAATGTGCAAGAGAGAAACGTCAGATTACTCTCAGAGGATCTCCAATCAGACTCACAGCTGACTTCTCATCAGAAACCCTACAAGCTAGGAGGGAATGGCGAGACATAGCACAGGTGCTAAGAGAGAAAAATTGCCAGCCCAGAATATTATATCCTGCCAAGCTCTCATTTGTGAATGAAGGTGAAATAAAGACCTTTCATAGCAAACAGAAATTGAAAGACTTTGTGGCCACTCGTCCGGCCCTGCAAAAGATACTTAAAGATGTGCTACACTCAGAAACACAGAAACATGGCCATCAGTATGAAAGAAG